AAAAAAAAAAGTTTGGATCAATAGCTTCTTCTGTGCTTTCTGTTTTCCCTTAAAAATAATTTAAGTTTAAAAAATTGTCATTATAAAATGTTCATTTTATACATGGAAAATGGAGTATTTTGAAGAAAATAACTAGCAATAATTCTATCACTCTGCTAAAATTAAATTTTCTGCTATTCATTTTTGTGCTTTATCATTGTTTTCTTAACTTTTTATATTTTAACATTTCAAATCAAGAGTAAAGTTACAATAGTAGTACCAAAAATATGCACATACTCTATAAATAGGTAGAGCAGCTGCTGACATTTTGTCACGTATTCTTTATGCTTTTTAAAAGCTATTAGATGTGTCAGAATTGCAGCCATTGTGACGCTTCAGCACAGTATCTCCTAAGAATAAAGGCATTCTCGTAATAACCACGTTACAGGGCTCACAATCAAGAATTTTAATATTAATATGCTACTGTTATTATCGCTGTAGGATAAGCACTGGACCGCAAGGTTGGTGATTCAGATCCACCAGCCACTCCTTGGAAACCCTATACTGTGTCTCTATGAGTTGGAACTGACTTGACAGTATTTAACAACAATAACATTATTAGCATAGGAATTCCTGCAGAGGCAGATGGTTAAGGACTCAACTACCATCCAAAAAGTTGGCTAATGGAACTTTCTGAGGGACATTTAAGGAGTCTTGGTGTGGCGCTGTATGATAAGTACAGTTCACCGCAGTGGACAGTTCAATCCCATCATCTGCTCCTCAGAAACACTATAGCCTATACAGGGTCACTATGAGTTGGAACTGACTCGAGAGCGCTAAACAATATTACTGCTCTAAGGAGTCTTGATAGTGGAGTGGGTTACGGGGTTGAGCTGCAAACCGCAGGGACAGTAGTTTGAATCTGTCAACCGTACAGCAGGACCAAGATGAGGCTTTCTTCTTCTGTAAAGGTTTACAGCTAGGAAACCCTAAACAGGTCTCTATGAGTCAGAAACAACTCAGCGGCATACAACCACCACCACCAATGGGCCTGTCTTGGATCTTGGTTATTATTACTCTAGAGAGTACTGAACTGCAAACCACAATTGTTGTTAAATGTCATCTAGTCAGTTCTGACTCATAGCAGCCCTATATAGGGTTTCCAAGGATAAGAGAGTAGGCTTGAACTACTGACCTTGTGGCTCAAACTGACCTTGCGGTCCATCTCATTATCCAGCAGTGCCACGCCAGGACTCCTAAACAACAACATTTTGTTGTTGGGAGTTAGTTCCAATTCATAGTAACCCTGTGTAGGGTTTCCAAGGAGCAGCTGGTGAGTTTGAACCACCACCCTTGCAGTTCAAACTGACTTTGAGGTTGACTGCTTATCAGGCCTTATCAAGCTTCCAACAACATTAGTATTATATAATTACCTATTGTGTAATTCAAATCAAATCTCCTCAGTTGTTCTGGTAATTTTTTTTCCTTCTAGAATCAAGACCTACTCAAGGCAAAGATCACTTATTGTATTTAGTTGGCTTCTCTTACTCTAAAGAGATTTCTCTTTTTATTGTTTGTTTCATGACACTGATATTTTTAACAAGATCAACTTTTTTTTTCTTTAACTGTTTTATTGTGAATTATATGATAGTTTACATGGGAGAACATTAGCTTCACATTCATCCTATCGTATATCATTTCATTGCCATGGTTACAATCCCCTCCATGCATCATCAGTCAACCAAAGGGTACACCCCACAAGCCTACCCCCTGGTCATCAGTACACAGCGTCTCTCCCTCTCAGGGTCTAGAGTCCCCAGCTGCTCCATCTCTCCACATCATCATCTCTGCCTCCATCTCTGGTATCACTGTTTCTCTGGGTAGGATCCTGCACTCTGCTGTTCTCCCTTGATGGTCCCAGGGTCCTCCGCTCCTGGCCTGCAGAGTCAACCACTCCCCTCCTTTTGCTACAAAACATCTACCTTTACATTTCCAACCCTCACAGTCAGTCCTGATAGAAATTATTCACTATTGTAACACATGAGTGCTATCCCCATCTCCTTTCATCAGCTCC